TCTCCACCCTCCTTCCCCACAGGAGCATTGCAGTGCCCACCAGGCTCCACACTGGCCACACTGTGGACCTTAGAACTCCAGTCTTTGAACCCCGCTGGTTGTAAAATCTCACAAAAATCAGCCTCACCTGTTTTCCCAGCCAATGGCTTTGAGAAATTGTTCTCCTTGTGCGTAACCCTGTGCGCTCCTCTCTCTCACCTGTCTCTGGGACCAGGGCTTCTTTCCCTCTGCAGTACCCACATCTGTTTCTCCCCCCAAACCGTATCTCCCCATCTCCAACCTTCCATGATGTGGCCTCTTCCTCCCTTTCGCTGTGCAGTTTGTTCTGTCAGTCTTCAGATCAATTTCTTGGGTATTCAGAATGATCTGATACTTATCTAGCTGTGGTTGAGGGATGAGGTAGGCAGAGGGTCCTCCTACTATTCCACAATCTTAGCTCCTCCCCAGATGGATTATTTCAGTGGGTACTTATCACTGTCTTCAGCTGATGGTATTCTACCTTGCAACGGCATACATATTTCTCCCATCCTAGGTTTTTGGTATTGACATCATAGATTTTATTTGTACATATATTATAAACCCCAAAATATATTTTTCCATCATAAACACTTAACTATGTTTTAAAGATATCTTATGAGAAGAAATTGTATTTTTTTTTTAAAGATTTTATTTATTTGACAGAGAGAGACACAGCGAGAGAGGGAACACAAGCAGGGGGAGTGGGAGAGGGAGAAGCAGGCTTCCCGCCTAGCAGGGAGCCCGATGCGGGGCTGGATCCCAGGACCCCGGGATCATGACCTGAGCTGAAGGCAGACGCTTAATGACTGAGCCACCCAGGTGCCCCAGAAATTGTATTTTTATGTACCCACATAGCTGTGATTTCTGGTGCTTTTCGTTCTTTGGTGAAGATCCAGGTTTCCATCTGGTATCTGCCTTTTTCCTGAAGGACCATCTTTAACATTTCTTCCAGGTCTGTTGGGAATTTGTTCTTTCATCTCTTGTGTGTCTGGACAGGTTTTATTTTGCCTTCATGATCGAAAGATATGTGTGTTGAGGATAGGACTGTAGGTTGATGATCTTTTTCCCTTTCATGCATTAGGCCCCTGGAAGGGGTTCCACACCTCACTCACGCTCTGTGCATGCTCTGCTGTTCCCTCTTCTTAGTGCCTTCCATGTTTGGTGCTTTTCACTGCTGTTTTCACGTTTCACGTTTATCCTCATTTCTGCTGCAATACTTAGCCTTTTGTTAATCCCACCCGTGCATTTCCCATCTCAGATTTTGTAGTTTTCATTTTTAGAACTTTGATTTGGGTCTCTTTCATATCTCCTCTTTCTCTACTTACCATGTTTCCTCCAGCTTTTTGAATGAATCATCTAACTCAGCCCACTGACTGCACACCTGTAGATCAATATCAACTGATTTGTTTCCCTCTTCGTTTTGAGCTATACTTCCTGCTTCTCTATATCTGCTAGTTTTTAGCTAGATGTTGGGCATTGTGAATTTTAGTTTCTGGGGGCTGAGTATTCTTGTATGCCACAAATATCACTTTGATCCCTTTTTGGGGACCTAGATAAGTTCAGGTTGAGGGCCTGAATAGAACAAAAAGGCAAAGGAAGATTTCAGCCCCTCCTGCTGGACGGTTGAGCTGGGATGTTGGTCTTCTGACCTCAGTTCCCCTGGTTCTCAGGCTCTTGGGTTTGGACGGGAACCACCACTGGCTCTCCTGGGCATCCAGCTTACAGAGAGCAGAGGGTGGGACTGCTCAGCCTCCATGATCTCATGAGCCACATCCTGGTAATAAATCTCTTCTCGTGTCTGCACGTGTCCTGTTGGTTCTTCTCTGGATGACCCTAGTGCAGCATCAGCAGCTCTGTTCATGGTGAGTGTTCTGGAAATTAAGAAATGCACTTTCCTACTATTTGAAGTATGAGCTGGCAGTGCCATCTGCCTCCGGCCACATGTCACCTCCAGGGGGAGGCAGGGACGTCACTTCCCAGGCTGAGTGTGACCAGCTGTTCATTTTGAGGGAGCATGTCCTTGATTCCAGGTGCTGGGAGAGGTGTGCTGGTCTGGTTGGTTAGATAAAGAGTCTTGGCAGCACTCTGGGGGGGTCATGGTGACAGTCACTGCACATACAGCCCCCAGTCATCTGTGTCAGCAGATCCGGGACTTGTCAGGTAATGCTGTTTTGTTTTGTTCTGTTTATGGAGAGACCGTGCCCCCAGCCCGTGAGCCCTTCTCAGGTGCCACGTACCTGTCTGTAGGTGCACCCCAGGAAGTAATTTCTGAGATGTCCACTCCTACATTCTGTCCCTTAATGTCCCAGGTCAGATTCTGACGTATGAGAAGGGAAATGCCTTTTGAAACAGGTTCCACTGCAGAGGGAACAGCTTGAAAATGGGGTGTTGTTGGGGGCGCCTGGGTGGCTCAGTCATTAAGCGTCTGCCTTCAGCTCAGGTCTTGATCTCAGGGTCCTGGGATTGAGCCCCATGTCCGGCTCCCTGCTCAGTGGGGAGTCTGCTTCTCCCTGCTCGTGCTCTCTGTTGCTATCTCTGTCTCTCTCTCAAACAAATAAATAAAATCTTAAAAAAAAAAAAGAAAATGGGGGTGTTGGTCGTGTCTCTCATGTGGTGACAGGAATTGTGGATGTCACCTACACCAGCTCTTTCTCACCAATACTTAGGGTTTCTTGGTTGGTAGGAAAATCTCACGGACAGAGAATTTCAGCAGGTTTTCATCATATTTGTTAAAAATACAATAATACAACTCCTTCTGCTTAATTTGTAAGAAGATGGACATTTATCCATCACATGTAATGTAAACGTGGATGGATTAAAAAACAGAATGGTTTTTTGCTACTGATGGGCTATCAATGTCAGCGAATTCTAAGTCAGTTGAAAGACACTGAACTTAGAACCAAAGCTTTTGATCACAAAGTGATAAACCAAGATTCTTTATTTTACAACGTTGAAGTGCCTTCACTTACATTGCTTTCTTTAAAGGATCCTTAACACTAATGATATTTGGGGGAGAGCAAAACTTTTAGTGCCATTAACAAATAAAACCGCTCTCTTAAAAATATCAACTTCCTCTTTATCTTATCCTGCAAAGGACTTTCTTTTGTGTCTGTCAGGGCACATGCGTTGAAAGGTAATGAATCGCACGCGTCCTAGGAGAGGTTCCCGGCTTCCTTCTGGTATTTCCCTTTCTCCCACAGCTGCAGCCTCCCTCCTGCGGAGGCCGGCTCGTCTCCACCGGGTCTTGGAGCTCCTGGGCTCCTTCTCCCATGCCCCACCCCCCACCGCTGCCTGACTGCACGCTGGGAGGAGGAGGATGAAGCCCATCCTGTTGCCAGGCTCCTTGATAACTCATGGTCCTGTGGACTGCCCATGGTCGTTTCCCTAGCACGGCGCCCAGAGGGGGCCCAGGGCTGCTGGCCGGGCCCCTCATCCTGGCCGCGCTGTCCCCTGTGCTCCAGGCGTCCTCGTCCTCATGCTGGTGTCTGCAGCTCTGTCTCTGGGAGTTACCCCTTCCCACTTTAACTGGTGGAAATCGTACTGAATTAACAGGAACGGACAATTCCAGGCTTAGTAGGTAGCACATGCTCTCCTAACCCTCGATAAGTAAGACCCTGAAATGGAGGGTTTTCCATCCATTTTACGACGAGGAAGCTGGCCATGAAGCGGGACCGGACTGGGGAAGGGTGCCTCCAAACCGCAGCTTTGACGGGCAGGCTGCAGGCTGCCAACAGGCATCCCTGTGTCCCTGTCGTCACTGCCAGAGGCCAGTGTCCACAAGGCTGAGGCAGCCCTAGAAATGTTCCCCAAGCTGCGCCTTTCTCCAGTCGGCCTGGGTGCCAGGTTTGGGAGCTAGGGTGAGTGACCGATGGCCATCTGGTGGCTTCTGTCTCTAAGGGCTGGTGTGGCTGCCACAGGCCAGGGGGGCATTGCCGCTGGTTTCATTAGTCTGTGCAAAGGCCCTGTGGCTCAGAGGTCCTCCACCTGCCCAGCAGCATACCCTGGGAGGGCCCCCTTGGCCCACACCCCCTGCTCCAGGGAGTCTGCACTCAGCTGAGTCCTGTTGGTGCTGTATCTGTCCCCAACCCCAGGTCCCTGCAGGTCCCCCTATCTCAGTGCCCAGGACATGAATGCTGCTGGAGGTGGGGAGATTCTAGAGGAAATGGGGTTGGCTGCCTGGCTTTGGGAGTCCCGAGTGACTGACAAGGTGGCAGGTGCCCGTGAATGTTCTGGGGCACATCAGAGGCTGCCTGGGGGCCAGCGTGACCTGGTAGCAGGCTCGTGTCTCAGCTGCTCCGGTGTCTGGGTCCCAGAAGGTGGTGGGGCGTATACCCCGGAAATGGGGTGAACCCCCCACTGTCTGTCCTTTGGAAGTTCCAGCTGATCAGGGTGGGGAATTCCCCAGAAATTCGTGGCTGAATTGGGATGAAGTTGGGATGCAGCGGCTCTGCCTGGGGAGGGGGCGTGGAGTGGACCCTGTGTAGACCATGGATCTGCACCCTTGCAGTCTTGTTCGGATGATTGGAAAGACCTGGGTGTTGTAGGAAAGGTGACTCATGGCACTGTGAACAGTGTGAGGCAGATGTCATTTAGAGCCACTGGGACAGGTGTGGCCCGGGCAAGTGGGGGCTTATCGCCAAGGAGCAGGTAGGGGTCAGCAGACAGAAAATCACCAAGGGGAAATGTCAGGGGTGAGGGGTCTGAGGGGTCTGACCTAACAGGCTTCCGGCTGAAGGCGGTGCAGGGCATTAGGTGTCACCTGGGAGTGAGAGGCTGACGAGCCCCGTCAGAGGTCCAGGGTGGGCGTCTGGCTGGACTCCTGGTTCTGCTGAGATCGGGTGATGCCCAGGCACTCAGACGCCCACACAGGGCCTGGCTGGGAGGCGTCAGGGGTCCTGGTCGGCCTGGTCTGGGAGAGTCTGCCACAGGGGATGCTGAGCGAGGGGAAGAAGCCGAGTGGGTAACGGAGGGTCTGCTCCCAGGCAGAGGAGGAGAGGGACGACATGGAGAGGGTGAAGCTGGACAACAAGAGGATTCTCTTCAACCTCCTGCCGGCCCACGTTGCTCAGCACTTCCTCATGTCCAACCCCCGGAACATGGTGAGTGCGCAGTACCTGCCTCCCGCTTCGCCAAGCCGGGCTGCTCTGGCGGGGCTCACAGGTCTGCGGCTGGAGGTCCCACCCAGAGGGGCCCTCCCGTCACGTCTCTGCTTGAAATTGCAAAGCATGGCTGTTTCTGAGCCCTGGCCGCACCGAGGCTTGAGTGGGGCTCCCTCTGCCCAACCCTGGGCAGCAGGAGGCTCCAGGGGCGAGGAAGTCCCCACTCTTGGTCCCGGGAGAGAGCAGAGCATCTGTCACCCTGCATGGGGGGAGAATGGGCTTCAGAAAACCCATGTTCAGGGCAGCCGGGTGGGTCCGAGCTTCCTAATCGCGGCGGCCACAGAGCAGGGCTCACACATGCCGACTCAGAAATAAAGAGGCCTGGTTAGCATTTTAGATCCTAAAGGCACGGGGCCCACGGCTCGGCCTGACCGGCTTTGACCGGAAGCTTCCAGGGCTTTGGGTCCATGGGGCTGGGTCCCGGGGCAGCTCAGAGCCCGTGCATCCTTGCCCGCCGCCCTCCTCCCCTGCCCACACCTGCTGTCCCCAGGGCAGCTCAGAGCCCGTGCATCCTTGCCCGCCGCCCTCCTCCCCTGCCCACACCTGCTGTCCCCAGGGCAGCTCAGAGCCCGTGCATCCTTGCCCGCCACCCTCCTCCCCTGCCCGCACCTGCTGTCCCCTTGCCTGCCACCCTCCTCCCCTGCCCGCACCTGCTGTCCCTGGGGCAGCTCAGAGCCCGTGCATCCTTGCCTGCCGCCCTCCTCCCCTGCCCGCACCTGCTGTCCCCTTGCCTGCCACCCTCCTCCCCTGCCCGCACCTGCTGTCCCTGGGGCAGCTCAGAGCCCGTGCATCCTTGCCTGCCGCCCTCCTCCCCTGCCCACACCTGCTGTCCCCGGGGCAGCTCAGAGCCCGTGCATCCTTGCCTGCCGCCCTCCTCCCCTGCCCGCACCTGCTGTCCCCGGGGCAGCTCAGAGCCCGTGCATCCTTGCCTGCCGCCCTCCTCCCCTGCCCGCACCTGCTGTCCCCTTGCCTGCCACCCTCCTCCCCTGCCCGCACCTGCTGTCCCCGGGACAGCTCAGAGCCCGTGCATCCTTGCCTGCCGCCCTCCTCCCCTGCCCGCACCTGCTGTCCCCGGGGCAGCTCAGAGCCCGTGCATCCTTGCCTGCCGCCCTCCTCCCCTGCCCGCACCTGCTGTCCCCTTGCCTGCCACCCTCCTCCCCTGCCCGCACCTGCTGTCCCCGGGGCAGCTCAGAGCCCGTGCATCCTTGCCTGCTGCCCTCCTCCCCTGCCCGCACCTGCTGTCCCCTTGCCTGCCACCCTCCTCCCCTGCCCACACCTGCTGTCCCTGGGGCAGCTCAGAGCCCGTGCATCCTTGCCTGCCGCCCTCCTCCCCTGCCCACACCTGCTGTCCCCTTGCCTGCCGCCCTCCTCCCCTGCCCGCACCTGCTGTCCCTGGGGCAGCTCAGAGCCCGTGCATCCTTGCCTGCCGCCCTCCATGGGGCTGGGTCCCGGGGCAGCTCAGAGCCCGCCGCCCTCCTCCCCTGCCCGCACCTGCTGTCCCCAGCGCTGCGGCTGACCTCGCCTTTGCCCCCAGGACCTGTACTACCAGTCCTACTCGCAGGTGGGTGTCATGTTCGCCTCCATCCCCAACTTTGACGACTTCTACATCGAGCTGGATGGCAACAACATGGGGGTGGAGTGCTTGCGCCTCCTGAACGAGATCATCGCTGACTTTGACGAGGTGAGGGCCGCCCCTGAATGGTGCCCCACAACGTGGCGCATCCCCCCGCACACGGAACTGGGAGGAAGCCCGCACATTCTGTCCCCTGGGGGGGTCCAAAATGACCCCGACCGTGGAGGAGGGGCCTTTGCCGCCCGCAGGCTCTGAGTTCTGGCGGCGGGTGCTGACACCTGACCCCTGCCTAGTACAGGCTGGCTTGGCTGGCGGCCTCACCTCCAGGACGGGTGGGCAGGAACCTGGGGTCTGCACTAGCCCTGCTCCCTGCCCCGGGGCATCTCCTCCAGGGTAAGCCTGAGGTTGCTGCTGCAGGACAGGGTGCTCTGCATGGTCCCTCCTGGGCTCCTCTTCCCCACGCCCTTGCTGGCACCCCTCAGCTCGGCCCAGACCTTGTCTAGTGCCCACAACAGAAGAGATCCACTGCTTCCCAGAACAGGCTTGTCCGCCCTGGGGTGGCTCCCACGGTGGCTTCTCTCGGATGTTAGGTAACGTTTAACTGTTTTGTGTTTTAAACAAAGCTCATGGACAAAGACTTTTACAAGGACCTGGAGAAGATCAAGACCATCGGGAGCACCTACATGGCTGCGGTGGGGCTGGCGCCCACAACCGGGACCAAGGTGAGTACTGTCCGGGGTTTTGCTGCTCAGGGACTGGGTCTCAGCTCTGCCCCAAACATCTCTGGGACTCTGGGCAGGTTCCCTGCTCTGAGCCCCAGTCTGCCCTAGCATTGGGTCAGGGCAGGGGCCTTTGGGCTGTCCATTCAGTGGCCAGCTCTCTCCAAACAGTCTCCCATGGAAAGTCAGCACCGAGGCCAGTCTCGGGGGCTTCCTCCGGCCCTGCCCTGCCCCACTGACCTTCCCCCACCAGCCCTGCCTCTTCCTCACTGGCCCTGCCCCCTTCCTGCCAGCTGCACCCCAGTCCTACCAGCCCAGCACCATGGAGTATTCCCCTTTCCCAATGCAGAATTGTGAATAAAGTCCTCAGGTTAGCCCTAAAAAAAAAGGCAGGGAAAGAACGGAAGATGTAAAAAAAGAAAATGCAATGAATGGAAAACAGTTATAAATATGGGAGATACTAATTCAACTATTTCAGTAATCACTTTAAATGTGAGTGTAAATATGCCAATTAGAGGAGACTGACAGAGTGGCCAAAAACACAAGACCCAACTAGGTTTGCCACAAGAAACACACTTAAAATATAAAGACAGAGATACCTTAAAAATAAAGGATGTAGAAGGAGGTACCATTCTAGCACTAATGAAACAAACTTTAGGTAGCAATCTTAAGACAAAGCAAACTTCAGATCAAGGAAAATTATCAGACAGATAAAAAGGGAGACTGCAAAATGATAAAGGAGTTAATCCTCCAGGAAGACATAAGAGTCTTTAACATGTATGCACCTAATAACAGTGGGTCAGAATATGCAAAGCAAAGCACAGATGGAACCGTGAGGAGGAATAGATGAACCCACTGTTACAGTTGGAGACTGCAACACCCTTCTCAGTAATTGGCAGATCCAGTGGGTTGTGCATCTGCAAAGATGGTTGAAGTGAACAACATCATCAGGCACCTGGATAAAATTGACACCTACAGACAACTTCATGCAACAACAGCAGAACACACATTCTTCTCAAGCTCATGTGGAACATTTACCAAGATGGAGCACATTTTGGGCTGCAAAACACACCTTAAGAAGTTTTTTTTTTTTTTAAAGATTTTATTTATTGAGGGAGAGAACACAAGTAGGCAGAGTGGCAGGCAGAGAGAGAGGGAGAAGCAGACCCCCCGCTGAGCAGGGAGCCCGATGTGGGGCTCGATCCCAGGACCCTGGGATCATGACCTGAGCCGAAGGCAGACGCTTCACCGACTGAGCCACCCAGGTGCCCCCAAAACACACCTTAAGAAGTTTAAAACCACTGAAATCATATAAAGTGTGTTCTCACACCAGAATGGAATTAAACTAGAAATTGATCGATGGGGAGATAATTGGAAAATTCCAAAATATTTGGAGATTAAGTAACACTTACCTAATGACACGAGTCAAAGAAGAAATCTCAGGAGAATTTTAAAAGTGTTTTGAATGAAATAAAAATGAAAATACAATTTATCAAGGTCTGTGGAATGCAGCAAAAGCAGCCCTTAGAGGGAAATTTATATCACTGAAGTCCTCTATTAGAAAAGAAGAGCAATCCAAAATCAATCCTCTATGCTCCCACTTTAGGAAACCACAGAAAGAACAATATAAACCTCTGGTAAGCATAGGGAGAAAAAAAATCAGAGCACAAATCAATGAAATTGAAAACAAGCACAAAAGAAAATCAATAATGGGGCGCCTGGGTGCCTCAGTCGGTTAAGCATCCAACTCCTGATTTCGGCTCAGGTCATGATCTCAGGGTTGTGAGATGGAGCCCCGCGTTGGGCTCTGTGCTCAGTGTGGAGTCTGCTTGAGATTCTCTCCCTCTCTCTCTCTCCTCCTGCCCCTCCCCTTGCTCATGCTATAAATAAATAAGTAAATAAATAAATAAAATCTTTAAAAAAAAAAGAAAATCAGTAAAACTCAAATCTGGCTGTTTGAAAAATCAATAAAGTTGATAACCTCTATCCAGGCTAACTGAGAAAAAGAGAAAACACAAGTTACTAATATTAGAAATGGAAGTCAGCCCACTTGTACTGAACCAAAGGGTGAAAAGGTATGTTGTGAACAACTCCGTGCCCACAAATGTGATCATTTCAATCAAATGGACCAATGCCCTGAAAGCCACAATCTACCAAAACTCAAACAAGGGGAAATAAAAAATCTTACCAGGCCCATATCTATTAAAGAAATTGAGTCAGTAGTTAGTAACCTTCCAAAACAGGAGTGGGCCCAGATGGGTTCACTGAACATTTAAGGAAGAAATTATACCAATTCTCTAAAATCTCTTCCAGAACGTAGAAGTTTCTAACTCATTTCTTTCTAACTCATTCTATGAGTCCGTAGAGTACCACATAATAATATGAAATAATATGAAAACCAGATAAAGAAACTACAAGAAAGGAAAATCACAAGCCTGTATTCGTCATGAGTAGAGATGAGTAAGTCTTCAACAAATATCAGCAGGTTGAAGCCAACACTGTATGAAAAGAACAATAGACCACAAAGAAGTTGGAATTAGATACGAAGATATCAAGAAAAATATAGCTTTTTCCTCTAAATGGTTAAAGATCTACTAGTAGTATCCTACAGATTTGTTGTATACTAACTTTTTAAAAATTTACCATGAATTAACATTTTCTCCTCTAACACCTCTTAAATCGGTGTACTTTCATAGTTCAGAGAAAGCTGTTTTGTAGTTTTTTTTTTTTTTTAAGATTTTATTTATTTATTTGACAGAGAGAGACACAGCGAGAGAGGGAACACAAGCAGGGGGAGTGGGAGAGGGAGAAGCAGACTTCCCACGGAGCAGGGAGCCTGATGCGGGGCTCGATCCCAGGACCTGGAATCATGACCTGAGCCGAAGGCAGATGCTTAACGACTGAGCCACCCAGGCGCCCCTGTTTTGTAATTTTTTAAACTCTTTGTAAAGGCTCTCTTGAGGCCTAGTATGGGGTAATTTTACATATGTGTTTTTTGAAAACTTTAATATAAAATAAACTCATTTTATTAGTGGAAAAAAAAAGATATCAAGGCTGGGGCACCTGGGTGGCTCAGTTGGTTAAGCGACTGCCTTCGGCTCAGGTCATGATCCTGGAGTCCCGGGATCGAGTCCCACATCGGGCTCCCTGCTCAGCGGGAAGTCTGCTTCTCCCTCTCCCGCTCCCCCCTCTTGTGCTCTTTCTCTCTCTCACTCTCTCTCTCTCAAATAAATAAATAAAATCTTTAAAAATAAATAAAATTAAAAAAGATACCAAGGCTGGTGCAACATTTCGAAGTGAGTTCATGAAATTTACTATATCAACAGGATAAAGAAGAGAAATCATATATGATCATGTCAGTTAATTGATGCAGAACAATCATTTGACAACATCCAGCACCCATTCCTGCTTTTAAAAAAACACAACTGTGAGCAAACTCTACAAATAGAAACTTTGTCAACTAGGTAAAGAACATCTATAAAAATCCGGTAGTTTTCCATCATACTTGATGAGAAACAAAGCCTCCCCCTCAGATCAGGAGTGTGGCAAGAATGCCCCTTGTCATCACTCCTGTTTGACATTCGTACTGGAAGTCTTAGTGCAGTAAGACAAGAAAACGAAATAAAGGTACACAGACTGGGGAGGAAGAAATAAAACTGTCCCTGTTCACAGATGACATGATTATGTAGAAAATAAAAAAGAATCCACAAAATGTCTATAATAAGCAACCATAGGAAGGTTGCAGGAAGCAAGATTACCAAGTAAGTCATTTCCCTACACACCAGCAATAAGCAAGTGGAATTTGAAATTAAAAACACAATGCCATTTATAGTACCACCCCCCAAATTAAATACTAGGTACACGTTTAACAAAATAACTACAACAGTGTCTCTGTGAGGAAAACTAAAACTTTGATACAAGAAGTCAAAGAAGATCTAAGTAAGTGGAAAGGTAAGGTTCCTCTGAGCACAGGAAGACTCATGGTCGAGAGGTCAGTTGTCGCCAATTGATCTTAAAGATTTACACAATCCCACTCAAACCCGACAGTTTATTTTGTGGTGTTGACCAACTGATCCTAAGTTTACATGGAGGCAAAAGACCCAGCATAAGTTAACACAGTACAGTAGAAACAGAACGGAGTTGGAGGCTGGCATGACTGGCTTCAAGGTCAACTAGATAGGGTGAGGTTGGGGAGGAACAGACGGCTAGATCAGTGGAACGGAATAGAGAGCCAGACATAGACCCTTATCAGTAGAGTCAACAGATCTTTGACGAAAGAGCAAATGGAGCAAAGGTAGCCGACAACACACAGTGCTGAGACACCTGGACATCCGTCTATATTTAGCAGAATGTTAACACAAAATGTGTTAACTTATAATGGATCATAGACCTCGATGTAAAAGGCAGACGTATTAAACATCTAGAAGATAGCGTAAGAGAAGATCTAGGTGCCCTTGGGTTTGGTGATGAGTTTTTAGATGCAACACCAAAAGCACGATCCACAGAAGAAAACATCGTTATGTTGGATGTAATTAAGAATCTAAAATTCTGTGTGGGAGATACTATAATGAAAAGACAATCCACAGGCTGAGGGAAACATCTTTGTAAACCACTATCTGATAAAGGACTTGGATCTAAAATATACAAAGAACTCCTGGGGCACCTGGGTGGCTCAGTCGGTTAGGTGTCCGACTCTTGAGCTCAGCTCAGGTTTTGATCTGAGGGTTGCGAGTTCAAGCCCCACTTTGGGCTCCACATGGGCGTGGAACCAACTTTAAAAAATAAAATAAAAACAAAATATACAAAGAACCCTTAAAACTGAACAATAAGAAAACAGACAATCTGATGAAAAAGTGGGCAAAAGATCTGAACAGACCTCTCGCTGAAGAAGGTACACATGAGACGTAAGTGTAGGGAGAAGCTTCGTATTACGTGTTCTGGGGAAATGTAAATTAAGACAACGAGACACCACTACACCCTGATCAGAACGGCCAACATCCAGAACCTGGAGGACGCCCAGCGCTGGCGAGGATGTGGAGCGGCAGGAACGCCCACCCATTGCTGGTGGGGATGCAGAGTGGTGCAGGCTCTCTGGAAGACAGTCTGGCCATTCCTTACAAAACAAAACATACTCTTACCCTACGATCCAGCTGTCACGCTCCTTGGCATTTACCCAAGGGGGCAGACAACTTTTTTTTTTTAAGATTTTATTTATTTAGGGGCGCCTGGGTGGCTCAGTCGTTTAGTGTCTGCTTTCGGTTCACGTCATGATTCCAGGGTCCTGGGATCGAGCCCCGCATCGGGCTCCCTGCTCGGCGGGAAGCCTGCTTCTCCCTCTCCCACTCCCCCTGCTCGTGTTCCCTCTCTCGCTGTCTCTCTCTGTCAAATAAATAAATAAAATCTAAAAAAAAAAAAAAAGATTTTATTCATTTATTTGAGAGAGAGAGAGAGAGAGCACAGAGGGAGAGTGAGAGGGAGAAGCAGACTCCCCACTGAGCAGGGAGCCCGATGCAGGCCTCGATCCCAGGACCCTGGGATCATGACCTGAACCGAAGGCAGACACTAAACGACTGAGCCACCCAGGCGCCCCAGGAGCGGACAACTTACGTCCACAAAATATCTGACATGGATGTTTATGGCAGCTTTATTCATAATTGCCAAAGCTTGCAAGCAACCATGATGTCCTTCATTGGGTGAACGGATAACGCAGTGTGGTCCATCCAGACAAGGAGATGTTATTCAGCGCTAAAAAGGAATGAGCGATGACGCCATGGCAAGATGTGGAGGAAACATGAATGCAAATTACTGAGGCAAGAAGCCAGTCTGAAGAGGCTGATGCTGTAGGATTCCAATTATGGAACCTTCTGGAAGAGGCACGACTGTGGAGATGATAGAAGGATCAGGGATTGCCCAGGGGCTGGGGGGGGGGGGTTGAACACAGGGGTGTGCAGGGGTGCAGTGAGGCTGCTCGGTGTTCTACTACAATTGTGGGCGCACCAAGTTCTGCATTCGTGGAAACCCACAGGACGTACACACATACAGGGAAGCCTAGTGTAAACTGCGCACTGCGGTTAACCATCGTGCGTCACTGTGAGCGCTTCAGTGGTAAGGGAGGTCCCACCCGGAGGTGACCAGGAGGGGACCCGTGGGAGGGAGGGCAGCCGACGGGACTCTAACCAAGAGAAGGAAATTGCCCGACGTCCTTGTTTGGCACGAGAGAGGCCGTGAGAGCCGCACAAAGCAGGGGGGGCCACGGGCTCTGTGTGGGGACACTGGCCTGCTTCCCTGTGCACCGAGGCTGCCCCCGCCCCTGCCGCAGGGGGTCCAGCTGTCGAGGGGCTGGCGCCAAGCCTGCAGGCGGTGGGCGCACTTGTGCCTGTGGGCTCTGGTCCCTGATCCCGCGGGTATGGCAGGGCCCTCCTGAGCGTCCCCGGCCCCCAGCCTTGCCCTTGCACCCCCAAACGTGGTAACCCCCGTCTGCTCGTGCGCAGGCAAAGAAGTGCATCTCCTCGCACCTCAGCACGCTGGCGGACTTCGCCATCGACATGTTCGACGTCCTGGATGAAATCAACTACCAGTCTTACAACGACTTTGTGCTCCGCGTCGGTATGTGGCTCCCGGCGGTGGCCACCGAGGCCAGCACGCTGCGCCCACCCGACCCGGGTCTCAGGGAGGGGGCGGGGCCTCCCAGGAAGGGGCGGGCCTCCCGGATAGGGCGGGGCCTCCCGGATGGGGGTGGGGCCTCCCAGGAAGGAGGGCGGGGCCTCCCGGATAGGGGTGGGGCCTCCCTGGAAGGAGGGCGGGGCCTCCCGGATAGGGGGTGGGTCCTCCCTAGAAGGGGCGGGACCTCCTAGGAAGGAGGGCGGGGCCTCCCGGATAGGGGGTAGGGCCTCCCAGGAAGGAGGGCGGGGCCTCCCAGATAGGGGTGGGGCCTCCCAGGAAGGAGGGCGGGGCCTCCCAGATAGGGGGTGGGGCCTCCCAAGAAGGGGCGGGGCCTCCCAGGAAGGAGGGCGGGGCCTCCCAGGAGGGGGCGAGGCCTCCTGGATAGGGGGTGGGGCCTCCCAGGAAGGAGGGCGGGGCCTCACAGAGGGGGTGGGGCCTCCCAGGAAGGGGCAGGGCATCTCGGATAGGGGGTGGGGTCTCCCAGGAAGGGGCGGGACCTCCCAGGAAGGAGGGCGGGGCCTCCCAGGAAGGGGCGGGGCCTCCCGGATAGGCTTGGGGCCTCCCAAGAAGGGGCGGGACCTCCCAGATAGGAGTGGGGCCTCCCAGGAAGGAGGGCGGGGCTTCCCAGGAAGGGCGGGGCCTCCCGGATGGGGGTGGGGCCTCCCAAGAAGGGGCGGGGCCTCCCAGGAAGGAGGGCGGGGCCTCCCAAGAAGGGGCGGGGCCTCCCAGATAGGGGTGAGGCCTCCCAGGAAGGGGCGGGGCCTCCCGGATGGGGGCGGGGCCTCCCAAGAAGGGGCGGGACCTCCCAGGAAGGAGGGCGGGGCCTCCCGGATAGGGGGCAGGGCCTCCAAGATAGGGGTAGGGCCTCCCAAGAAGGGGCGGGGCCTCACAGGAAGGAAGGCGGGGCCTCCCGGATAGGGAGGGGCCTCCCAGGGGCGGGCCTGGGAACGCAGGGACTCTACCTCTGAAAGTTGGCAACTGGGACCGAGGACCCAAAGGGGCGCTGCCCAGCTCTCGAAACACCTCTAAGTCCACATGCAGCTGGAGGAAAGTGCCCCCAAAGTGGTGGTTCTAGCCGGGATGGCATGAGGACGGTAACAGCGGGGCCCGCCAGAGCGGGGGGGTGTTCTCCCCAGCACAGCTCTGCCTGAGGCCGGGTGCCTGCCAGGTCCGCATGCCCACGTTCCGGCTTTGTCCTCAGCTGGAGCTCCACCATCCGTGTAGTGATGTTCCAGGAAACAGACACTGTTCCCGCCCCCCTGGGGGACCTGGCGGGGTGAGAGCCCAGGCCCTTCTACCCAGCAGGCAGGCTCTGTCTGGTCCGTGCCCCAGCAGGCATGGGGGAGCGGCCCCTCAGGCCCCTGTCTGGTCCCCGGCTCCACCCCAGGGCCATCCCGCTGCCAGGCCTGAGGCACTGACGAGGCTGGTGGCCGAGACGTCATTAGCACCCCTGCCTAACTCAGAAAGTCTGTGCACGGGTGCAGAACGGGGACACAATGGGGGCATGTGACGTGGCGTCATCAGGAAGCCCCATTGGGGGATGGCTACAGGGGTGATTGGCACTCTTCGGGCAAGTCGGCCCCGGAGCCACGTAAAGAGAAGGGGACCTCTGCTCCCCTCTTCAGAACATCCCGAAAGGCTGAGCAGTTCTGGGCCCCACAGCTTGAATGCCCTGCAGGGTCGCAGCCAGGGGAACCATCAGGAGAGACTATCCCTCCTGGAAAGGGACTGCGGGGGGACACAGTCCTACAGCCTGAAAGGCCAGGCTTCCTAGCTGCAGGGTCGGTGCGGGGTCGCTGGCCCGGGAAACAGGACTCTCTCCATGCCCGGGGGTCCATGTATGAGCAGACACTGGGGGCCCCCTCTTCCCAACCAAGTGGTGGGTCTCTGCTTCAGGAAGGGGCCCTGTGCTAGATGCTAGATGACCCCAGGAATCCATGATCCCGAGAGGGGCAGCTCATTCCCTCGGAAGCCTTGCTGGTGCCGACGGCGCTCCATGGCTGTCTTCCAGGCATCAATGTTGGCCCCGTGGTGGCCGGGGTGATCGGGGCTCGGAGGCCGCAGTACGATATTTGGGGAAACACGGTCAACGTGGCCAGTCGGATGGACAGCACCGGCGTCCAGGGCAGAATCCAGGTCGGTTCACTAGAGATGCCCGAGGCACATCCTGCAGGTGCGAGATGGTGCAAAAGGCCGGGGGGCCAGCCCGGCCTCCCTCTTCTGGGCAGGGACACGAGGCCGCCTAGCACAGTGTGTCTGTGACCTGCAGGGCAGGACCCGAGACCAGGGGTGGTCTTGGTTTGGTTTGTCCTGTGGCTTTGGGGGTCAGCTCCCACGTGGCCATGTGTGGAGGCAGGGGCACGGTGGGTGCTGGGGTCCCAGCGGGCCCGTCCGGCATCCAGGACTCTGCCCACCTGCCCAGCTGCTGTAGATGGAGGGGCTTCCTTGGGTTTGGAAGGGCGGGTGCTGTGGGCCTGCCTGGCCGGGAGCCTGTGGGCGACCCTGACAACCTGTAGCAGCCCCCCAAAGCTCCGGGACAGAGGCTGCTCTTCCCAAGCGTGCACAGGTGTGGGCAGCTCTCGGGGCCCCCCTTCCAACCATGTGAACCCAGGTCTGCCGGGGCGCACGCTGCAGTCCCTGGGGGCCTCGGGGGAGATGGAGCCTGTCCCCCAGTGTGGCCGTGGCTGGCCTCTGGGCACCCACGGGGCTGGGGCGGAAAATGCAGGGCGCTCTGTGAGCGGCACCAGGTCCCGCGCTGGCCTCTCCCTCTGCCCTGATCCCTGACAAGGTCCCCCAAGACCCGCGTGTACCCGGGTGCAGGCTGCCAGCTCTCCTGCAGCCGTGTGTTCGGTCCCCGCCTGCCTCTGGCAGGTGCCTGCTACGCCCTTGGATTCCTCGGTTTACCCGTCAGGAGACTCTGCTCAGAGCGGAGGCGTCTGCAGTCTTTCCTTCGAATTTCTTGTATTGTCATGAAACACACACACGTTTACAATCCTCACGTGCGTGAGCGTGCGACTCAGAGGCGCTAAGTGTGTCTGCATCATCCCGCCACCATCCCACAGCCCGTCCCAGGACACCGCGCCTTCCCGGGCCGGGTCACCCCCAGGGGGGACTGGGCGAAGGCCCGTCCACTCTCCAGCTGGCCACTGTCTCACGTGAAAGTTTGAAGTTTCCACGACCAGATAGCAGCGAGCCCCTCCCCTGCTCAGCACCAGGACTGTTCCCTGTGGCCCCCGAGGGCTGTTCTCCATGACGTGGCCGCTGCTCGTGGCCTGGCCTGCCCTGGCTGCTGGGCTTCCGGCGATGTGCCTCCCAGCTCTCTGTCCCCTGGCTGCACTGCAGGGACCCCCTTCCACGGCCCCCACCCTCGTGCCTGTGTGTGGGTCCCCGCATGGAGCCAAGAGCGCAGGGCAGATCCACAGGGGTACTGTGGATGACCACAGCCCCGTGTGCCCCCGTTCTGAGCCAGGCGCCCACCTCATGGGGTCCTGGGGCTCCGACAAGCCTTGTGACCCCCCCCCAGGCGGCCACTCTGCGTGCTGGAGCAGTTCTTCGCACGCCCCCCACGGCCACCTCCCTGCGTGTCTGTGTCTGGACTCCCCGAGGCACAGAGCACTCGGCTGTCCCGTGAACGCCCCCGTCCCCCAGAGGACCTGCGACAGGGGAGCTCTATGCAGACGGGGGCCCCTTCCCCTGCATCAGGCCCGGGGTCAGCGTCTGGGGTGCGTGCCCCAGGGCAGGACTGCCGTCAGCGTGGGTAAGACGCGGTCCGTCCGTCGGGGCCCCCGGTGCTGCCTGAACCCCTTCTGCCGAAGGACTACTCCCGCCCGCGGCCCCGTACGCGCACCTCCTCCCGTGTTGAGGAGAAGCACGCCCCACCATTGCTGCTTTTACAAGTTCTTCCTCTGCTGGGCCCAAATTAGACATCTGGTTCTTTCCTGGAAGAAGTGCGCGAGGGACTCCGATGTTAGCCATCCAGCTTTGCCTGTCCTGCTTCTCCCTGTCCAGGCCTCTAGCTGGTGCCTGGGGTGCCCCGGGGCTCCCACCTGGGCCTGCTGCCACGTCTCGGTGCCCTGTCCAGCCTGCTGCGCACCCTGGGCCCTCCCCTCGGAGACCATGGCTTCCCCAGGCTTGTCCGGGGCTAGCGGGCGGCGCAACCCCCAGGCTGTCCCGGCCAGGGCCCCTCGAGTCCCCTGGCACTGTCTGATGTTGGGGACAGGTCGCGGGGGGTGGAGGAGGGAGCCCTCTGTGCGGCCCTGCCCCCGGCATCCTCCCCTGCTGACCCCGGGGACGCTCGCTTGCTTTCCTCCGCTGCAGGTGACCGAGGAGGTTCACCGGCTGCTGCGAAGGGGCACCTACCGCTTCGTGTGCCGCGGGAAGGTCAGCGTCAAGGGCAAGGGCGAGATGCTGACGTACTTCCTGGAAGGCCGGACCGATGGAAACGGCTCCCAGGCCAGGTCCCTGAACGCAGAGCGGAAAATGTGTGCTTACGGACGAGCCGGCCTCCAGACCAGACTGGCCACAGGCCCGCCCCCGGCGGCCCCCACGGCCGGCCTCCCGGTCAGAGCCGGGCTGGGGGCTCTGCAGGGCTCGGGGCTCCCCCCGGGCCCGCCAGGCCAGCACCTGAGCCCCAGAGCAGCTGGGAAGGAGGCTTAGCTGGCTGCTGGGGGCTCAGGGGCTCCAGCAGGGACCAGCCCGGCCCACAGAGCAGGGCCGGCGGCCGGCGGCTGGGCTGCAGAAGGGGTGCCGTCCAGGCGTGACCCGAAGCAGCCGGGCAGCGACGGGCCAGGGGAGCCCTGCCCGCCTGGACGCTGAGGCTTTCAGGGGACTGTGCTCGCTCGGTCCTCTCCTCGGTGGCCGAGGAGCGACTGCCGGGGTCGGTCAGCTCAGCGTCTGGCGTCGGGATCTTGTGAACATGCTCCGCGGCCGCAGGCTTCGCTGAGCCAGAGCCGTGGAGCTGTGGCCGGCAGAGCGGGAGCGTGCCCCGAGGGGGCCCACGGCAGCCCCGGCTGGAAGCCAGGCCTCCCGCGTGCGGCAGGGCCGGAAGGGCAGGCCCGGGGCCCAGGCGGGCGGTTTGGGGAGAAGCCCTGCCGCACAGAGCGGGCCCCGCTGGCTTCCTTCGGGAGCGGTTTCTGCCAAGACCCAGAGGCAGGTCTTCTGGAATTCTTGGGGCCCCGAGCCACGTCTCTGTGTCCCGACCAGCATCGTCCCTGCTCTGCCTGCCCGTCCCGCGTTGTCCCTCGGCCCCCGGATGGCCTCGGCCCTACAGACCCTGGCCTCTCTCGTCGGGGGAGGAACCGAGGTCGGGGTCGCGGGCCCCTTGCTGTCCCCGCGTCTGGGGCTCCTGCTCTTCTCACAACAGCACAAGCTTCCCGGGCGGATGAGCCTGCGCCCCGGACGTGGGATTCGGGGTGCGTGTGGGTTGCACCCGTGTGGAGAGCTCCGCAGGTGACTCTGGGGAGGTCTGGGGTCTCCCGCGCACACAGGTGCAGACCGAGGACACGCGGGATGTGCTGTTAGGGGTGCGGGGCGGCGGCTCCGGCCGCAGGAGGAAGGCAGCTGGGCACCGGCGGGCGGGGCTGGGCTCACTCTGGCTGAGCCCCCGTCGATGTCCCGGGGCTGCTCCCGTGGTGGGCTTGTGAGGCGTGGCGTCCTCTGGGGGGCTCAGCCCTGCCCGGCCGGGTTGCAGCCAGCCTGGGCAGCCGCCGGGCCGTGTGTGGACAGGCCAGCTGATGCGGGACTCTGCACGGAAGTAGGTGGGCCGACGGCCTCCCTCCTGAGAAGCAGCTCTGCGCTGAGCCACTGAGTCCTTCTCAGCCTTTAGAGACATGGCGGGATTCCATCAGGGGAAACCGAGTCATCCTGAGAGTCCTGTGAGCATGCGGCCCCCGTGGTGAGCCTGTCTGTGCCGGGCTGCAGGGCTGAGGACCTGCCCGGGGTCCTGGTGCCCGCCTGCTGGTGGCGGCCAAGCTGCCTCCGGGGCAGGGCAGGGGGCGGCAGACCGCACCGCGGCCCCGACTCCGTGCTCTGCCGCGCGGCAAAGGGACTTCACAGACGGAATTGAAGGTACGGGCCTTAAGCTGGGGCAGGATCCTGAGCTCTCTGGGTGGACCACCTGCCCCCCTCGAAGTGGACAGAGCGGCAGGGCGGCCCGGATGGCCCAAGCATGAGGTAGCTGCTTAAAGATGCGGGGACCCGACATCAACCATCGGGGAGAGGAGCTGGTCGCCCCCGCGGACACACGCCACGGATCCCGTGTCGACCCGGGCGAGCCGGGGGGCGGGTGGACGCCCGTGAACTCTCCGCAGCGCCCCCAGCCCTGCCGGGCCCGGACCTGGGGTCTGCACAACCAGGAGCTCTGGAGCCCTGCAGGCGTGGCCACCGGTCGTGGCAGCGGCGGGAGGCCGTGGGACCCGACGGTTGTGGGCCGGCCGCCGTGACCACCCACGGCGGCGCCGCGGCCCAGCTCCCAGGAGCGCACACTTCTGTCATCAGCAGTCCAGACCCTACCGCCCCGAGGGCGCGGCAGCCCCCACAGCGGCCCTCGGAGGCGGGTGCGCGATGTCTTCCTCTTTATTTGTGATGAGACCGTATGATCTTGCCTTATTTATTTTTAATCTTGTACAGCATCCACGGACAAACGTTAGCCTTTCGAGTAGGGTTCTCTCTGAATTATTTAAGATGCTCTGTAAATAGTGAACTGTTTCAGGGGACGCCTGTTCACTCCCACCAAAAATGAGAACAGCCCCCGCCCCGTGCGAACGGCACGCTTTACCCAGACGTGTGACGTCCCTAAGGCACCGCGCCCCTGCTTGGGGAAGCCCCGGCACTGGGGGGGCCCTGCGTGTCCCTCGCGTGCTGCTTATGCCCAACCTCAGTAGCGCAGAGGCAGCCCCAAACTTCCAGACGCTTCCACGGACCACCGGGCCCGGGGGGTCCGCTGCATGGGGTGTATGTGCTGCAGCGTGGAGCCCCCCGCGGACCAGGCCCCCCGAGCCTGCACGTTTGTCAGACCCCAGAGCCAACAACGCTTCAGACCCTTTCTGTCTCCAGAAGCAATAACTAACTCTCAACTGCGGTCCAAAGCCAATGGTGATTCCAGCATAAGCCATGTGCACGAGTTTGCCCGAGTTCAACCACGCTGTGGGGGGCCCGACACCCCCACGGCCCCCCAGCCCCTCCTGCAGACCCAGCTCAGGCCCCACGCGCTGCGGGGTTTGCCGTCGGTGCGCGGGACATGGGAGGGGAGGGCCTGCCTCAGCCCCGTCAGTTAAGTCGCCCTCGGGGCGAGAGCAGGTCTGTGCACGCCTGTGACCCTCCTGACCCGTCTCAGCGCGTCCACGGGGTGCCGTGAGCCTCGGGGCCAGGACGCCATCCTGCCTGGTGAGCCTGGTTGACGTGTGGGCTCTGAGCCCCACCGGACCCATCCAGCCTTCAGGGGCACCAGGCGCTGGTTCCACCTGGTGGGAATGCCGTGCTCGTCCCATCAGCACCCAGAAGTAGTATGAACCCCCTCCTTTGTCCTGCTACTCAAGAAGGAAGGGTCCTGTGGGCCTCGCGCGTGTGTGTCCCAGACAGGTGGACCGTCTCCGCTCCCGCGTATGGTCCTGTGATTCCTTGAGTCGGGGGGCCCTGCAGGCCCCTCCCGTGTGGCAGGCTCGCCCACAACACGCACACAGCCTGCGAGGCAGGTGCTCCCTCAGCGTGCGCCCGCCGCCACGTGGGAGCCGGGCACGGGGGCTGGCGGGCGCCCCGCCACGCGCCCAGCAGCCCTGGCCTGGCGGGTCACAGGGCACTGCCAGCGCTTGTAATTCTGAGGCATGTGGGCTGTTGGCTCCGTAGAAAGTCACCCCGGAAACCGACCTGACCTGAGTTTGTAGTGGCGTCAATGAAAAAAACGACAGAACTTAAAAAGCAAAAAATCAACCTTCTTAGAGGCAGTTGATGTCAAAATGTTTGGTTCGGTGAGAGGAATAAGGGGCAAGCTGAGGCCCGCTGGAAGCTGGAGGGCACAGCCATGTCCCTGCGCCCGGACATCCTGCCTCCCCAGCTGCGCTTTGCTTTGAAAGCTGCCTGGGACATGGAGCCCCAACACCCTCTGAGGGGGTGTGGGGACCACGTGAAGATGTGACCTTTCCCCTCACAGTGTCTTGGGGTTTGCATTTGCCCCCATGAATCTTAGGCTGGGGTGGGTTGAAGTCTGGTTCAGGGAGTGGATTGCTAGGGGTGGCCTGAGGACTCCCCTCCTGGAGGGCAGGGTGGGGATGGGGCCACGGCCTGAGGACCCCCCTCCTGGAGGGCAGGGTGGGGATGGGGCCATGGCCTGGGGACCCCCTTCCTGGATGGCAGGGTGGGGATGGGGCCACGGCCTGGGGACCCCCCTCCTGGACGGCAGGGTAGGGATGGGGCCACGGCCTGAGGACCCCCCTCCTGGACGGCAGGGTGGGGATGGGGCAGATGGCCAGGAAGGCTCAGTTTGGCTCAGCCTGAGGAATAAACTCCCAGCTGTGAATTTTGCCAAGATGGACTTGGGAGGTGGGGGGTTGGCGCTGAAAGGCAGGCCCCTGGGGAGTGGGGCGGGGTCCTTGATTCTATGAAAGCATTCTACTTGGCAGCCCACAGAGCACCTTGCCCATGTGTCACCCATTGGCCACTTACAGCCCCCACGGTGTCGTGAGGGATCTGGGGCTCAGAGAGGTTATTGACTTAAGCGAAGTCCCACAGCGCGAGTGGCAGGACCAGGATTTATGCCAGCCTGTCTGTCCCAAGCCCTTGGTTTTCCATCGTACTCAGTGGCTCTTCGCTGACGCCGAGTTGGGTTTGAGGGAGCCCCCTTGCTGGTCTGCACCCAGGTGCCCACTGTGGTGGGGGGACCCTGGCAGGCTGGTTCGGAGTGTTTGCCCCACAGCCCGCCCCGGGTATGCCCCGGGGAGCTCAGTCAGAACGCTGTCCTCACAGTGGACTCCCAAGGACAGTCTGAGTTAGCCTGAGAAGTCCCACCTTGTCTCGCTTTCCATCCTAAATCTGTCGTGCCCACAGCCTGTCCTGTCTGAGAAAACACAGACCCCCCTGCAGCAGGGAGGATGGTTGCCCATGTCTTTCTGCATGGTCTCTCTGGCATCAAACTGGGAGACGGAGCCCCCGAGGCACACACGCTTCCCCACGTCCACGGAGCCGGGTGGCCCCCGAGTCCCGGCCGAAGGCGCGTGAGCCCCGGGAGGCCGTCGGTCGAGTCGGCCGTCTCTGCTCCGTCTTGCCTGGTGGAATGGCCATCTGGTGCCTCACGCCACGGGAGCGGTATGGGCGGTGAACGTCCCTTCCTGCAGGTCGGGGGACGGCCAGGGCAGGTTTCCGTGAGAACGCGTGGAAGGCAAGACGGGCCCCGACTCCTTCGGCTCCGGGCAGCTCGGACGTCGTTCGGAAGCTCGGTTTGCAAACAGCTCGCATCACGTGCTGAGAGCTGATGTGTAAACAGAGAGGTGGTCCTAGACCAACGGCCAAGAGAGCTGGGTGAGTCTGGGCTCCCTGACCGCATATGGTGTGCGGGACCATCTGCAGAGCGCCGTGTCTGTGGCCTCTCGCTCCCCACGGCGCGGGCCACGGGCCCACCAGCAGCCAGAACGGTTTCTTGCCTCCCACCAGCAGCCCCAACCAGCCCCCGGGCCCCGGGCACGAAGCACGCGTCTCAGGGGACCGTTCCCCAGTTGCGGGATCCCGAGGAAGCCCGCTACCTACCACCTTTGCTCACTCCGGGGCGCCCGCGCAGCCGAGCTCCCGTCCCGGAGGGGCGCGCGCGGTCTCGCCTTCGCCCTGTACAAACTGTGGGCTCGCACGCACGTGCCCTCTGAATTGCATGCCCTGAAATCCCCACGTGTGTGAAACCCACTTTGAACTTGAAAACACGCAGCATGCGCGGAGGGACAGGCCCGCCTCGGGCCATCTGCCGGCTGGCCGCAGAGCGTCCCCGCGACACGGTGCAGCCTGGGGCCCCGGCCTGTGCGGCCAGCGCCTGCAGTCGTCACGCAGCGTCCCCCAGCCCGGACGCCCCTCGTCCCTGCCCGCCCTCCCCCCCCGGCCACACGATTGCACACCACCTTGCACAAGGAAGGTAACGTATCGATCGCGACCACCTTAGAGTAGCTTCCATTCTCACCGAAGGTAAACCCAAAGCCCACCCTTGATTTTCTTTCCTCGCCGAGAAAGGCCGGATACGCCCCTGCGCCCTCCCGTGTCCGGCTGGGTGTGGCTTTGCCGCTCGATGGCATGCAGGGGTGGGTGGGCACGGGGACATGCTCTCTACCCACGGAGCTCGCTCGAGAATGGTTCTGCAGACACGGAACCAGGTGACGGGGTCAGAGTGACGGCAGCTCACGGTCACCAGGTAGCTTCTCTCGATAGATTTGTATAATCAATACGGGTCTATTTTTACGTCAGCCCCACACTGTACCTTCCAGTCTTTTCCAAGATTGTTCGACTGAGACAAGTCACTGAATAATTGGTCCTATTTTTATTAACAAACCAGTGAACGGACTGAAATGTTAACGTGAATGTACATTTCTTAATTGCGACTTTTCTACTGAGTGTTTGCACTATACTTTCTGGAATCTTATTTAACAAAAATAAAGGAAAAGATTGCTTGACTAAAAACCCGGTGGCCGTTTTACTCGCGAACCGCGGGGTTTTGTGGCTTGTGGGAAGACGCGCCTCCCTGCAGGGGGACGGTGGTGTCCTCTAGTGTCGGCGGCCCGTCCTCTGGGCCGGACTCGGCTCCTCCTCTGGCCGCGGGGCGGGGGGGTGTGGGGGCTCGGCTTCTGCTCCCAACCGGAGACTCCGGGGAGGACGATGTGTACCTCCTGTGGTTCTCAGACTGCTCTCGGACTAACCGGTCAGGGACTGTTGTTGAAGGCAGACCAAGGGTGGACAGCAGGGGTGGGGGTGCGCCACCAGCAGGCTGAGCCAGGATGTTCCCTAAAACCGGCCTCTGCAGCCCAAGGTCAGGCCAAAGTCAGGGCCTAGCAGAGAAGAGGCTGTGAGGCATCAGACCAGAATGTTAGGGAGGGTTTGCCACCGGCCACCCTCCACCAGGACACACCTAATGCCACCGTCCAGGGAAGCCCCCTCCTACCCAAAGAGTGGGCAAGAGAAGAAGGGTTGGTGCAGGGACCCCGCAGCTGGTGGGGAGGCAAGGACTGGGCCAGACTCTGGGGATCATGAGAGCGTGGCCTGGGCTTGGCACATCCCGTAGAGCCTGAGACCCCGTCAGCAGGGGAGGGGGGTGGAGGGGCTGCCGGACTCTGCCCCCTCTGAGGACGCCCTGAATCCCAGGGCAATTTCCAGACCCCACTCACTCGGCATTTTCCCTTAGAGGTCTGGCAGACACATCAAAGGGAACACACCACCCTGAGGGGTGTGAGTGGGTGAGAGGGGGTGTGAGTGGGTGAGAGAGGCTGTTCTTTGAAGGAGTAGGTCCCCCAGTCACGGGGCTGCTAAGTCCAGTCTGCAGGGCAGGCGGCAGCTGGAGACGCAGTGAGGAGCGGAGGTTGCATCTCAAGTCCGATGGCTGCCTGGAGGCAGAATCCCCTCCTCCCCTGGGAGGACCGCAGTCTTTTCCTCTTAAGGCCTTCAACTGATTGGACGAGGCCCACCCACATTATCGAGGGCGATCTGCTTTAATCACAGCCCACTGCTATAAATGTTGATCTCACCTAAACCAGACCTTCACCCTGACATCTAGCCTGGCGTTTGACCAAACTGGGCACAGTGGCCCAGCCAAGCTGACACATAAAATGAATCGTCACAAATGTGTATCTTTAAGCTCAAACGAAATCAATCCAAAGTAAAGGAATTTAAAAAATCCTTATGAAAAGCACAATATCCCCAGAGAAACAGGACATTTACAGAATCCTCTGAGAAAGGGATACAACCAACCAGGAAGCAGGTGGACACTTGTCCAACTTGTCCAACAGAACCATCCATGAGGGAAACGCGCATGAGAACACAAGGGTACCGTGTCACCTTTCCAGCTGGTACGTGACTTAATTATGATTATTTTTTATTTTTTGGTATGTGTTTTAAAAGCTATCGTAAAACTAGCAAAGCTGCAGTGAGCGCTCACTTGGACACCGCTCACGGGCCCCGCACCTCGCTGGGTAATACCCAGCAGGGACCACACGATGGGAACACCGTTTAACCCACAAAAGGACTTGGAGGATTCTAACAACACTGGTAGACATTGGTACAAAATGCTTTGTTCCATGCCCGCATCCCCAATCCTGTGAGTGGGGTGTGGTATCACCCTGCTTGTGCCCTTGGCGAGGCTGCCTGGCATGCTGGACCCCACCCCAGCCCTCGAGCAGGGGATCCGCAGCACGGACAGTCTGTGTCCCACCGAGGCGGCCACGCACACATGGGGCCTGCGTGCAGCCCCGTGGCGGCCAGCAAAGGAACGGGGCCCCCGGTCCGGCACCCCCACACGGAGCCGGGTTCCCACTTTCCCGCTCAGATGCGCCGGGCGAGCACCTGCTTGGCGTCACCTGCAGGGAGCCCAGGTGGAGGTGCAGCCGAGCCACCAGAACGGAGGTGAACACGGGTTGTTTTGAGTCTTTGTTTCGCAGTAAAAAAAAAAATTTTAAAACACCAGGCGCTAAGACTTTACTGGAAAGTGATGCACAAACCAGACCCTGCAGCGAGGCCACTGAGCAGCCCCTCAAACCAGGTTTCTGACACGGTGACAAGGGGTGTGAACGTCAAATAAAGACACCCCGGATAAATAGCTTATTTTAGGAAGAAAACGTATAGTTTTGAAGATTAGATTAGAAAGGGATCACTTCTCATTTCACGCTGAACAGAAACTGCACGAGGAGAAGCATGCTACGGGGCTCGCTGGCTGTGACGCGGGCGCGTTCCTGAAGAGGACCCTGGTTCAGAGACCCCAAGGGGTCCCCGTCTATGCAGCCCGGACCGGCAGTGCCCGCGTCCCGAGCGCCGGTCTGAGGCTGCCCTCCCGCCCGTGCACAGCTCGGGTCCCGAGGACACGGAGGTCATGGAGGTGGTGGGTGCGGCCAGGACGCCCTCCCGGGCACCACGTTCCGGCTTCGGGCACAGGACTCGCTCCTTCCTTGGGCTACTTGCCGGCCACATCTTCCCGTGGCTGGAACACGCTCACAATCCACGCTGTTTTATTTGTGAAACGCCCCCCCAGGATTGCATTTCAAACACCAACTAGAGGGCCTGTGACCTACGCTCTTTTGCACAAATGCAAGAAGCCGTTTTGCTAACACGTGGGGGAGAAAACGCAACATGAGCATCTAGGAAAGTAGCTTACGAACAAAACGCTTCCTTCTGAGCACCTGTAATTCCCAGGCTTTCAAGAACAACCTCCCCGAAGTGCCCCTGTCATGCCTTCCTCCTCTCTGGCCTCATTCTGCATCTGAATTTGTCAAGGGCTGTGAGCAAGACAGAGAAGCCACTTGATGACCCATCAGAATCACTTTACATCAGACACAGATGCTCAGCAGAATCGTTCACTGACTTCCAGTATTGAAGGTGCGAAGGGTTTGCACTGAAGTATTTTTCCACGGTATGCAATTCTAGGCAGACTTTCTGCTTTATACTTTTGTGCTGTATTTGAAAAATTCATAAACTTATCATTTCCATAATCCGACAATAAATGTTATAACAAAGGGAGAAGTGAACACGTTGAAGAGTCAGCTTACGAAGGAAGAACCGGGTCAGGACACACAGGACTGTGTAAGCCCACTGGACAGTAAATCCGCTCTTCCCACACGTAGTCATTTGAAGTGACTCATCCAGTGACGGCAAACCACCCCCACCCCGGGAGGACTGTCCTCCTTCCTTGTTGGAAACCTCCCAACAAACACAGGGAGTGCCCTGCTTTAGGGCTGCCTCCTGATTCTGTCCAGCAGTGAGCTTGATCTGCAGCCCTGAGAGTGGGGCCACCATGGCCAGGCCTGGAGGGGCAGCCCTGGAGATGGCCCGGGGTAGGGTTGGAAACAAACGCTCTTTTCGTTTTCGGAAGGAAAAAAAACAGAGCACAGGGTGTAAACACCTCCAGCTTTTCCGTGGGACCCCAGCGAGACTGCACAGGGACGGGGCAGAGACGGCCTGAACCATGGCACAGGGTCGGATTCTTCACCCCACCCCCACCTTTCGGAACCAGCGCCTGCAAACCGCCCGAAGCGCCTCCCGCTCAGAGTCCCAGCGCCTGACTCTCCCGGAATGGCATCCTGAGCCCGCTGGGTGTGTGGCCCCAGCCCTGTGTGGGCGGCTGGGTCGCCACGCTCCCTGGTCTCTACGTGCAAAATGTCATCCTGTGCCCTGGGTCACACTGGGGAAGCCGCAGGGGTGGCAGGCACCCCCAGGGTGGCGCAGTGGGCGTCCACCTCCCCCGTCGGCTCCCTCTGGGCCCTGCGCTCTGGTGGTACCTTGGAGAGCCTCGTTAGCTCGCCCCCACCCGACTCGAGGGACGCAGCGCGGGGAGGGCAGCGGTCCAAGCGGGACCTGGGCAAGCCCTGAGGAGGGCTGGGGTTTGCAGACAGACAGAGGGCCGGGTGAGTCCGGCCGAGGTGCGAGCTCCAGAGCATCGCACCCCCCCGCCCCGGCCCCGAGGGTCAATCGTCCTGGATGGTGAGCTCATGCTGAGTGGCCTCCTCGATGTCCTGAAGCTGGCGGATTTCCCACTGCCTCACGCGCTCCATCTGTCGGAGGAAAGGCGTCTCTGAGAAGGCCCGCGTTGCAGGAGCGCCCGCCACAGCTGCCCGTGGACAGCAGAGGCCCAGGCGGGCTGCACGCCCCTCCCCACCCGGCCCCGCCCTCGGCTCTCGGGCACCCCTGCTTCCACGTGCCGGGCATCACAACCACACCACGGAGCGGCAACCGCCCAGAGGGCCGAGTCTGGGTGGGCACCGGAGGGCTGGCTGAGGACCCAGGGGAGTGGGGCAGAGGCGGCCGGAGGGCTGGGCACAGGGACAGGGAGGGCCAGCCGGGGGCGTGCTGGGGACATCCCCGTGGGGTGGAGTAGACAGGCGGTCTTGCGGGGCTGCAGCAGGGAGAAGGGCCCAGGCCAGGGTGGGGAACACGGGCAGGATGAGCCCTGCTCCTGACCGAGACGCGGGCTTGGCCTCATAGAAGCCACGGCGGGGGGGCAGGGTGGCGGAGCCAGACCGCACAGGGGCGTGTGCAGGGGCCGGATCGAGGACAGGGTTGGCGGTGGAAGGAAAGACTGGGTCCTCGGCCCCCCATGGCGGGTGCCCCACAGATCATGGTCCTCCAAATAGCCTGGAAGTGTAAAAAAATGAAGCAATCCCTGGGTGGGGGCAAATGAGGACCAGGAGAAGCTGGTGTTGTCAGCAAGGGTGTGGGCAGATGGCAGAACGAGTGGGGACAGCAGAGCCGGGGGACGGGCCACCAGCAAGCACATGAACCCCTCGCAGAGCCCAGAGCAGTCAGAGGGGCTGGAAGCTGGGCGCCTGCATGAGGGCCCCCACGGGCCCAGGGCCTGCCCCACCTCTGGGACCATCTCTGCCACACAGTGAGACCCCCAGGCCCCTTCCCTTTGTCAGCTCCAGAATATTCCAGCCCCGCTCACACCTCTCCTGGCAGCAGGTGGGAACATCATCAGCCCGTGGGGACAGGGCACTAGGGAGGCATTTGGGGCTCGGGGGCAGCCCCGCACTCGGGCCCCACCCAGAAACGCAGGCGGAGCTGTGGTCAGCTCTGCAAGGCCGGGTTCCCAACTACGACCAGACACAGCCACAGAGGGCGGGGTGGGGGGGCCATCAGGAAAGCATCCCACCAGCAAACGCCCCAGAAGGGCGAGTGGGGCCAAGCAGAGAGGACTGGAAGGCCAGTGAAAGGAATCAGTGGGAGAATCGAGGCATCCTGCGGCGACCTTGGAAAGTGGAACCCAGCACCCCTCCGAGGGGCGGACAAGGGGTGAGAGAAGAAAGAAGAGATGGAAAGAAGCCATCCAGGCTGCCCCACACCTGACTTCCACCTGACTTCCCAGCAGGTGGAGCGGAGCCACGGGCCTCAGAGGCCACAGAGGGAGGGGTGAAGGTTTCCCAGAGGGACCCAACAGACCGACGGGCGCCCAGCCCACGAGCCAGGCCATGCACTGCACACGTCCCACCTCTGGGCAGCAGACCTGGACAGCCGGGGTCAGCTGTGGCCCCACGTGAGGGGCAAGGTGGAAGTCCCCCGACCGCGCCCTTCTCAGAACCTTCTAGAACAGCAGGGCGTCACAGGAGAGGTGAACCAGCTGAGGGGCCAGGAGGCAGTGCTCCGAGCAGGAAAGGGGCCCTAGGGACGGGGTCAGGGATGGGGTCGGGGACAGGGTCGGGTCGGGGACACAGTCAGAGACAGGGTCAGGTTGGGGATAGTCGTACCACAGTGGCCAGCTTCTTCAGGTCCTGCTTCCTCCTCCTGGCTGTGTTGGGGATCCCGGGCAACCCCACGGATCGAGGCCTGCTCCTTGCTCCGCGGGACTCCGCTCGCTGCTGCCGCCGCGTGACCGAGGCCGCTGTGGGCGGCTCTTCCCTGGGAGCCCGGGGGTCTGGGTTGGGCCCTGGCTGCCCACTGGCCACCCTGGAGGCCCAGATGCTAGAAAGCTGCGGGGTCTGGAGGGCGGCCGTGGAGCTGAGCCCTGCCTGGGGGGCCGGGGGGTTCCAGGAGAGGTGTGCAGGCAGCGGGGATCCAGGCTCAGGGCCCTCGGCTGGGTGGGAGGGGACGGGGCCTGCTGGCCTCCTGCGCAGGCTGGGGGAGGCTCCCAGAGGGGTGCTGTGCTTCAGGACCCTTCTCAAGGGCAGCTGACTCCTCAGTGAAGAGGGGCCCTCGTCTTCCTCAGAGGAGCTCACCCTGGAAAACTGCCGAGACAGGGCACAGATGTCGGCTCCCTAGAAGGTCCCGGCAGGAGCCTCAGGACGGGCACCAGAGCCCATCGGGCACGTCCTCCTCCCCCCCGGCCTCTGCCCTGGGCGCAGAGCCTCCAGTCCCACCCCGGGTGGGAGCGTGCGGCCCAGAGCGCGCTCCCACCGTACCTGCCTTTCCACCCAAGTCGCCTGTTCTATTTTTTGGTCAAAAGCAAGCATTGGTCCAAAATGTGGTCTTAATAATGGAATTGAAAAAGAAGGGGGGGCGCCTGGGTGGCTCAGTCGTTAAGCGTCTGCGTTTGGCTCAGGTCATGATCCCGGGGTCCTGGGATCGAGCCCCACATCGGGCTCCCTGCTCAGCGGGAAGCCTGCTTCTCCCTCTCCCACTCCCCCTGCTTGTGTTCCTGCTCTTCGCTGTCTCTCTCTGTCAAATAAATAAATAAAATCTTTTTTTATTCTTATGTTAATAAATAAAATCTTTTAAAAAAAAGAAGAAAAAGAAAAAGAAGCGGTTTTCAGGTAAAAAGACTTCTTTCTTTTTTTCAGGAGAAAACTGTAAAACATTGTCAATGAAATCATCTTAACATTTACGCTCAGCATAAAAGAGCAGAACAGCGGGCGGACGCAGCTGCTCTCTGTATGATGGGACGGCAAATCAGGCAGGGGTGTGGACACCCAGCGTCCTGATCCCGAGCCCCCCGCCCCCAGCTTCCGAGCCCCCGGCCGGCAGCAGAAGCTCCTTCAGAGTGTTTTTCCATCGAGAACAAAGCCCCTGGGAAAACCCTCAAACTCCTGTGCTCACGGCCTTTCCCTGATGCTGACAAACTGTCTTCGGCAAACAGTTTTATTGTCATCCTAAGGTCATGGTCGCCACAGCGCTCCTTGACAGGTTGTCACGTCAAAAGGACGTGACAGACTGAGCAGCTTGGTTTTTGAAAGAAGCCCTCGTCTGTCTTTTAGAGAGGTATTAATTCACACTGCGGTGCATCCGAGCCAATCCCCTACCAGTCTAGGTAACTTTCAGAGGAATGCTGATTTTACGTTGAATGCCACGGATGGAATGGGGGAAAGTATTCGCAAAGTACAAATCCAATAAGGGGATACTCTCCGAAGTACGCAAGGAATTCATACAGCTCCATAGCAAAAAGCCAAATAATCCAATTAAAACATGGGCAGAGGACGTGAACAGACATATCTCTAAAGAGGATATCCAGGTGGCTGACAGACACATGAAAAGATGCTCCACATCACTCAGCACCAGGGAAATGCAAATCAAAACGACGATGATCTGTCACCTCACACCTGTTGGAATGGCCAAAATCAACAACACAAGAAACAGCAGGTGTCGGTGAGGATGCGGAGAAAGGGGACCCACCGTGCACTGTTGGTGGGAATGCAGGCTGGTGCAGCCACTCTGGACAATAGTATGGAGGGTCCTCAAAAAAATGAAAAATTGGAATATCACGTGCCCCAGGAATTCCACGTCTGGGCATTTGGCCACGGGGAAGGAAACCATCATCCTGAAAAGGTACCGACTGACCCTGCCACGTTCACTGCAGCCGTGTTCACGCTTTGCTAAATCCCACTCTCGGGGTCCGATCTCATGCACCTGTTCGCTAGTGGGAAGAACAGTTTCTGGTGATGATATCCACTGTGGGCCCTGCTTCCCAAAAGTATCAATCAAGAAAGCCACTGTCATGCATGGTGCGGGAGGGACTGGAACTTTTCTCCAACAACAAGTGGATAGAAGTGTGAAGATGGGGTGATTGGGACATGCCCGGACATGTTGGCGGCCCACCAACTGGCTTCCGCTTGGGGGTGGGGGGAGAACAGAGCCAGCAGTCAGTGCAAGATACTACTGCGGGGTTGTCCTTGAATTCCTGCTGTGCATTTGCACCTGAAGGGATGTATCCGGTAGTGAGTTTTTGGGGAGGCAGAGCTGAGAAGCATAGTCATGATAGTGAACTAAACTTTTCCTAGAACAGAGGACAGATGCTTATGTTGCCTTAAACGTGAGCCTGATCAGAAATGCTCCAAGGCCGTGGGAAAGCGTCTTAGCCATCGTTTGCTGCGTGACAAATCACGCCAGCACTGAGGAGCGTAAGACAGACATGGGTGGTCGCGGTTTCCGTGGGTGGGGGGCTTGGGCTCTCCCATGGGGCTGCTGCCCTCCTGTCCTGCTTAAAATCAAAGCATAGAGGGACAAGTAAAACTAGAAAGTCTAACGTCAGCCTTGCTGCCACCCAGCTCCCCTAAGTAGCTACCGTTAGCAATTTGTAAGAAAACAAAAAGCACGGAATGCGTGTCCTGTATACAAAAGAAGTTCACGTTTCATAAATGGAATCCTGATGTGCATGGCTGTGTGGCTTTTCACCTCACCGGTGAACAAAGCACGTCAAGTCGCTTATTTGAGCGTGGCAGAGTTGGGTGTTTAAATTCCCCAGAGGGGCTTTGAGGTGGGCCAGGGCAGAAGAGGTCCCTAAATACGGTCTGGCGGGAAGGGGTTGTTGCTCGCGGAAACGCGTTCAGTGGAGCGTGCTGGAGCATTCCGAATCGGGTCCCAGTGAGCTCTTAGAGCATTCTTCCGAGGTGAGTATATCATGACCAGGCAGCTGGGCGAAGTGCCAGCCCAGCTGAAACCGAAAACAGGTCGGACCATGCGGAACGTCCCCAGGAGAGTCTCCCAGTCCCTGGGCCAGAAAGCCAGTCGGGAGTGTCCTCCTGGGGGGTGGTCAGTTCCCGAGCTGCTACTGTGTAGGTCTCAGGGTGCTCTTGCTACATTGTTTCCCATCGCAAAACCCGTAGAGATTGATGAATGTGAACTGTAACCACTCTGAAGAGCTGGATTCGCTCCAGAGAATGAGTCCGCATCAGTAAGTGCCCAAGTGTTTCCCAGAGTGGCTGCGCGGTCCTCCAGCCTGGCGGGCCCGCATGGGCAGCCCAAGTCGCTCCGCATCCTCACCGGCATTCGGGGTCGGCAGCTCCTAAGGTGTTCTACTGTTTGCTTTCTAACAGGCGAGCAGTAGTACCTCACGGCAGGGTGGTTTTAATGTGCATTTCTTCCACGACCGGTGATGGTGAGCATCGTACCCTGTATTTACCACCTACTTACCGCGTATACATCTTCTTTGCTGGTTAGAGGTTGAACACCTGAGCCCTGTCGACAAAGGCAAACAGAATCAGCTCGCTTATTAACAGACTGGCACTGGGTCAGAAAGCGCATCGGCTCCACACCATCCATAGGAGGCTGCGCCGGAGACAAAGGGCTTTGGAAAGATCCACAGTATGGCAGCAAAGACAACCCACGGGGGGGACGTGTGAACACGGGAGCACCTCTGCTGTTAAGAGGCCAAATTCATGGAAAAATGCACTAGATGAGTTGAAAAACAAAAGCACAGGGTGATTAAAAAGCCTAAATGTTTTCCTGCTTTAAGCACCTTGGCTCCAGATGCTGGGGCATCAACACAGAGCAAAATCCACAGAGAAACACGGAGAAACAGAAATAAACTAGTAATTGAGGCTACTTCACGGTGTGGGTATGTTTTTCTTTCTAAGCCTATGGTAGATCAAAGAGAAAAAGAAGAGAAGTGATCCAAATCCCATGGAAGGTCATCAGCGCTTGTAAAGGGAGACAAAGTCATTCTACTTCCAAGAGGGACCAGGCTCAGTGCAGAGGAGGGGTACGCACCAGGCGGGGCCTCTACCAGAAAGGCACTGAGAGCGAACAGGAGCGTATTTTCTGATTAGCAGGAGCTACCCTGAACTAACTTACGCATGGAAGTGAACTGAGAACCAATACACAATTAGACGCTGATACGCTTTTCCATAAGAACAATTTGAGAGCTGCCTGGGTGGCTCATCGGGTTAAGCGTCTGCCTTCGGCTCAGGTCGTGATCCCAGTGTCCTGGGATCGAGCCCCGCATCGGGCTCCCTGCTCTGCGGGGAGTCTGCTTCTCCCTCTCCTCCTGCTTGTCACTCCCCCTGCTTGTGCTCATTCTTTCTCTGTCAAATGAATAAAATAAAATCTTTAACAATTCGATACATTTTTGATAGAACAATACTGTAGCACTAACAGCTTACAGAAAGAACAGTGTGGGTTTTCAGATGCGTACTCAGCACAAACAATAGAGACATACATCTGGGAATATTATACAGGAAGAGATGGGTTTTAAATGAGCAGGGAAGGGCGCCTGGGTGGCTCAGTTGGTTAAGCGACTGCCTTCAGCTCAGGTCATGATCCTGGAGTCCCGGGATCGAGTCCCGCATCGGGCTTCCTGCTCGGTGGGGAGTCTGCTTCTCCTTCTGGCCCTCCCCCCTCTCATGTGCTCTCTCTCTCTCATTCTCTCTCTCAAATAAATAAATAAAATCTTAAAAAAAAAAATGAGCAGGGAAGGGAGGTTTTTTTTTTTTTTCTTTGAGTGTTGTTGTTCCAATGGGTCAGCCATTTAGAAAAAAAAAAAGTAGCAAAGCCAAGTCCCTACCTCATACCCTACATGAAAATAAATTACAAGGGACTGAATAGTATACTCTTTAAAAATTCAGATTGCGAAAAAGAAACAGGATAATTTTGAAAAATCAGAAACAAATTGGATTCTTATATCATTCACCAAGATCAATTCCAACTGCATATAAGATGCAAATGTTGTGAGACATGACGTGAAATGGGGTCACTTATTTTGAGGGGTTTAGATGGAGCCGGGAGGCCATCAGCAGGGGGGCTCATCCTTGTTCTCTGTCCTCAGGGTGAAACTAGAAACTTGAGCCCCGCCAAACCCCCCATACCCTGAGCCCCTGCAACTTGCTGCCCTAAGAGATTTTACTCCAATTCTGTTCAACTAACCCGAATTTTCTGCTGCCAACACCAGTCAAAATTCTTTCTAAGCAACATATACAAACTTTCCCCATTATTTTTAAAAACCCCTGAGTTTTGTCCCCTAAGGGGACACAATTTGGGTTGCTCCCCGAACTGCAATCCTGAGACCCCACATAAACGCTTTGTTTTAGGTCAGTTCTGCCTCTTTGCTGACAAGGTACAAACAGAACTATCAAAGCACTGGAAGGAAATGCGGGTGGCTTGCTCTGTAAACTGGTAAGGCCTTCAAATGATAACTCATGACACAGAAGCCGTAAAGGAAAAGAAGTTGAAATATAAAATTTTGAACTTCTGTAAAGAAAAACAGATGACATAGTCAGTGAAAACAAACAGCCCACAATTCTTATGAAAGATAAACAACAGGCTAATGGTCCTCCAACCCAGGGGAAAAAACTAAACCCTTAATGGATCAACATGCAAGGACCCTTAGTGGTTTTTTTTTTAAATATCAAATGTGTTTTTAATATATTGATAAGAAAAGATGTCTATGTTCTGGGTACAGGATCCTTTTTTTTTTTTTCCAAACTGAGAAAAAATAAGGATCTAATGTTCCAGAAGAAGCTAAAAATAACATTAGGTTATAGTGGGGGCTAGGGAGGGCGGCAGGGGCCACTCCATACCTGCTTGGCCCTTTTATTTTGACACCTAGCCTACAAATGAAGAAGGGAGAAAGGTCCCTGCCTGGGGAGACTCGAGGAGACCTGGGCAGCCCCCCTGGCTGGGCTGGGGAGTGGTTAGGGTCCGAGACTCAGGACTCTGAAACTCCCCCCCACCGCCCCGGGACCCTACCAGTCCTGCACCCTGCCTTTCTTTGCACATACGGAGCAGGCATGGCGAGGGCTCCCCTCCTGCTCCTGGTGCTGGCCCCCTGGCCCCCCGCAAGGCCACCCCGGACCCAGCCCCGCAGGACAGGCTGGGGAGGGGAGGGCGGGCGCGGTGTGCAGGACCTGGCAGCTCACGGATGTGTCGGGGGAGGGCGTGTCGGGTCCCAGCGCGGGGCGCCCCCCACCAGCGGAGGCGGGCAGTGGTTCCTGTGCCCCGGGCTCCATCCTGCCTCCACGCGGGGACGCAGCCGCCGCACCCCAAGCCGGCGCCCAGAAGCCCCCGCGGCGCGGCCCGCAGGCGGCCCGGGCTGCACCTGGCGCTCCCTGGGGCGCACGCGCAGGGCGGGGCGCGGGCGGGGCGCGCCCCGGGGGCCTCCAGCTGGTGGCTTCCCACGCGCCCCTGGGCGTGTTTCCGGCCTTCGCGAGGTCGGGGCGCGGGCGGGGCGCGCCCCGGGGGCCTCCAGCTGGTGGCTTCCCACGCGCCCCTGGGCGTGTTTCCGGCCTTCGCGAGGTCGGGGCGCGGGCGGGGCGCGCCCCGGGGGCCTCCAGCTGGTGGCTTCCCACGCGCCCCTGGGCGTGTTTCCGGCCTTCGCGAGGTCGGGGCTGGACGCCCGGGCCGGAGCCATCGCGTGCGCCCCTGCGTGCCCGACGGTCGACCTGCCTCTGCGCGACAAGCTACAGGAGCGGAGACCAAGGCAAGGCTCGTGTCCCCGTGTCCCCGAGTCCCCAGGCAGGGAGCGGAGAGTGACTCCCAGCTGTCGGACTCCCAAAGTCCTTGGCGCTGCGAGGAGCCTTCCCAGCCTTCGTGGGGTGGACGTCCGGCCCCCTGCAGGGCCCCAGGCGGGGCAGCCCCCGTGGGGCCCGCACGCGCATGCGCTGCCCGGGGGGGCTCCTCCCCCGGCCAGCGGCTTCGGGAGTGGGCGGCCGCAGGGCGGGCGGGAGGCCGGTGCCCGCCTGACCAGCGTCTTCACGTATCGTTAGTGAATAACAGTTGAAAAAACCCATCTCGCCTGGTACAGTGCATCCTTTTCCAGCTGGGGAAAGTGAGGGCCCCAGTGGGGAAGAGTTTGGCCCAAGTCCCGCGCGGAGCCCGGGGGGGCTGCCTTGACGACATCCCGGTGTCCTGTTGTTTCCTCACGGTGTCAGGCCATCTGAGGGTCCCCTGGCCTGCTGGCACCCCGGGTCCCCTGCTCTCCTGACCCCAGCCGTCCCCCTGACCTCCTGGCACTCAGGCACGCTGCTCTGAGTGTAGCATACGGCTCTTTTGTTTGCGTGCGCGGCTAAAAACAATTTCGAAATCTGCAGTGTGTGTCGAGGGTCACGTTAGTCGGGCACGCCAACGTCATCTGTCACCAGCACCCTTCGCGGCCGCCCTGGGCAGCGCTCTGCCGGGGGAGTGTGGGGGTCTGGGCATGCGCAGGGGCCCGGCGCCGGCTCCAGGCCAGGCTGCGGAGGAGTTGGCCCCATAGCCTGCTCCTGGTCCCTGCTGGGAGCCCCGCATGTTCCTAGAGCTCAGAGAGGCTGCGTGCCCGGAGCTGGATGCCTCTCGCTGTGCAGAGGCGACTTCAGGCGTGACTCGAATCCAGCTGCTGGATGCACCCATGCGCCTGCTGGTCTGCCACACGGAAACCTGCATCGCGGGTGCAAGTACTGCTCTTGGTGCGGGCAGTCCGGTTCAGAGCCCGGCTCTTGTTCCGTAGAAGGCGCGGGCTTTGGACGAGACATGCAGACGGTCCAGGGCACTGAGAGCTGCCTCTGGGCTTACAGATCGTGTGCGGGGGATGCCCAGGAGCGCTGGGCCCGCAGGAAGTACTCAGCAGCTGGTGGCATCTGCATTCACTCTACCTACTTACCTTCCAACAGCCTTTCCATTCCACCTTGCTGGGGCTTTCGGAACTCCGGCAAAGCAAATTACCCATTGCTTCTGCACTGCACGTTTATTTTCTGTGTGTTATGATGTTTTGGCCTCTTAAGACCTTTCTGGCTGGGGAGAGGTTGTCCCGCGTGGGGTTAGCCAATCCTTAAAGATATAAAAGGACCCAATGGGAAGCATGTCTTCCATAGGGGAACCAAGCAGCCCAGAGCCATACCTCCTCCATCTAGACCGAGCAGCCCAGGGGACAATATTCTTTTTGGGCCAGGTGCCAGGCGACTAGGGACACCCTACAGCACCCTACTGCTGGAATTATTCAAGGTAGCCAATGCTAAGCTGCTCACACTGTCCTGCTCTGCCCTTTCCCATGGAAACCCCAGTAAGGGTTATGGCCTGGGCTCTCTCCTCCTCCTGCTTCTGCCTCCTGACCACCCTGACACTTCCTTGTGGCCCTGTGTGGTATGCTGTGCCTCCTGTCTGTAGGACCCGGAATATAATAAACTTTCCCTCTAAGCCCCATTCCTGTCTAGGCCTGTGTCCCATTGACTTTACTATCCCATACCCAACACGTATATTCCTAGAACAGATTCTACACAACCAGTATGCTCAAGGTTGCATCTGACCTCAGGTTGTAAATAAGAGGTTAATGGCTGGTACTTTTTGTAAACCACTACAGAAAAGGAAAAAAAACCCTGTAAATTTCA